TCCTCTGGGCTGTGTCTCCAAGCTGAGCTTCCTCATCAAGGAGCACACCTCCCCACCCCCCACACCCCGCCTGTGACTCCAGCAGGCTCTTGGCAGCAACAAAGCAAACAACTGGTGAAACCGAAAATGAAATTGAAACTGTCTGCTGAGCTCCTTACACTACTTCTCACTCAGTGAAGCCCTTTTCAGATTCAAAATACTAATATCTTTTAGGAAATGTATTTTCAGATGCCAAGTAAACTACGCTGAGCTTCCGCAACATAGCGCATGCTGAAATGGGCACGGAGGTACTAAGAGAGACAGAGGCCAATTTCAAGGCGTTTAGAAAAGGAAGTGATGAGAAAACAAGTTTAATTTCTATTTAAACAAAAAAACTGCCTATAACAACTAAAGCTGATAAATATGCTCTATGCAGAGTTGTTTTTATAAACACCATAGTGTGTCACATTGTTGATATAATATGATGTTTTGTTTTGTTTTTCCTCATCTTCCCTTGTGTGGTTTTTAGTTTTTTTTTTTAGGGTTGCGCCTCCTCATGATGTCTTCATGAAGATGATCCTTGCTTTGTGCAGGGTCTGTGGCTGCATAACCCAGGGCACCTGTTCTCCGATGTTTATGTTCTTTCTTCTTCTGAATGGGTGTTCTAATTTCATTGTGCTCTGTACAATGACAATAAAGGTCTATTTAATCTAATCTAATCTAATCGTGACACTTTACTATGGTATAGAATTTAAATATATGCCTGAGAAACACATAATATTGCCCCTTTAATTATTTATTCCAAACAAACAAGAACAGAAATTAGTTTCCTTCCTCAGTGCAGGAGCTTTCATCTAGTTTTATTTGGAGTGTAAAAATGATTTGTAGGTCTACTTACATATGCCAAATTAGGAAATAAAATTGTAAGTATGCTAAATGCATTTGATTGAAATAACTTAATCAGTATTGGTTTGCAGATCTTTTTTAGAATGAGACGTGTTCGGGTCTGGCTCGACTAACCCTGAACTGCTGCTCCTGTTTGAAAAAGATGTGTGCACTTTTCCTCCTTGTTTAATTGTTTGATGTGTAAACCCAAACTGATTTGGACTGTAGTGCATTAAAAGGTTCTGTAAGTGAGAGGTGAAACTTCCTGTTGTAGGATGAAGAGTTCCTCCAGAGGAAAGGAAAGACTGTGAGAGCCGTTCTGGATGTGTTTGTAAGCATTGTCATTTATGCTGATCGTTCTAAACAAAGTCACACAGATAGTCATGAAAATTACAGATTGTGTAGGTAAACYTGTATGTTAAAGGACAGACTGTGTGTGTTGTTTTGCAGGAAGTGTACAAACCTCAGAGGAAGTACAGAAGGCAGAGAGATGCAGGACAGCTACTGGATGAAGAGTCCAGGGTCCACTCTACTCTGCTGGAATATGGCCGGTAACATCTCATCCCGTGTGTGTGTGTGTGTGTGTGTGTGTGTGTGTGTGTGTGTGTGTGTGTGTTAACTTTTTAGCACGTTCAGTCCCCAAATGCAAATTACAGGTGCCGAAGACTGGTTCTAATATGGTGGAACTCCAGTTTTGGGTTGGGTATTAGATTTAGGACTAAGGTGTGAATTGAGTT